GCGTCATGTCAGGCTGCGGCGAGGGAGGGGCGCGAGAGGCTTCGGGCGAGCGTTATGGATGGGACGGGGTTGGTTCGTGGGCGGCGGGGAGGTGGCGCCGAAGCCGTGAGAGGGTGCCGCCGAGGAGCCGGAGGTTTGGCGGTGAGAGTCGACGCGCCTGGGGTCCTCGCGCCTGGGGTCCTCGCGCCGAGGATCATCGGACGGGCGAGGGGGTGCGGGCTGAGGCTTGCTGTCGTAGCGGGATGGGTAGTGCGACGAGGCGCTCGAGTCGTGGCGCTGGGGATGAGGGTGGAATGCCGTAGCGGGCGAGGGACGAGGGTGGGATGCCGTAGTGGGCGAGGGACGAGGAGGAGCGCCGCCCTTCTATTTGCTGTTGTTAGAAATTCTCCAGGCCGTGTAGAGCATCGAGGTTGCGATGGTGGACGTACGTGTTCGGGCTCCGCAAACCTGTGCGCGATTGCTGGTCAGTTTCGAGGTTTCTTTGGCGGGGTAACGTGCCGCGAGTGACTTACCTGGGCAGCTCGTCAGGGTTATAAGGTCTGTTATAGGCCATTGTGGGCAATGGCTTCGGTTGAACAGCTTGGTGTAGATGCGGGTGGGAAACAAGGATCACAAGAAAGAAAAGGAGCGACACGAGAAGAAGTGATTGAGGCTCTGGCTTTGAAGGCGGCTGTCGCAAGCTGAAGAACAGAAAGCGAACAGTGGACAGTGGTCGGGTAGGAAGAGCCGCAGTGCGAGCTTGTCCTTGGCCTTGTCGGAGCCCGGTGGAAGAAGTGGGGCAACAGCGGGGAGGGGAAAGCGAGGTCCCTGCGCTAACACGCTCTGGCGGCAAGGCAGTATGCGGGTGGCCCACCCACCTTGTAAGGGGTCTAAAAGGTCAGGGGCACAATGTCTAAGGCACCTAAGGTACCTACCTACCTTACGGGTGCCTAACTTTTTTGGAGTTCACAGGCAACGACAACCATCTGGAAGGCCCATCTGCAAGGCAGTTACAAACCCGGGACTGGTTGAGGAGAATCGGATTTTGGCCAGGCTGATCCCAGCTTGGCGTGGAATGCAAGGGCATGGCATTTTCGTCAGTAAGCGGGCTCCGCCATCCCGAGCTTTTACATGGCACCCAATGCGAGGTTCGACTCGGCATACGCGGCCAGTTCGTTGAAGTCCCACACCCAGGTAGGATGCCCCCTTACTAGGCTTCCATTGTTGTATCTACCCATTCGGGCCTCAGAGTGGATTGCTCGGTGGACCAAGCCTGTGTTCAGCGCAGCATAATCCAATGGCGCAGCCCATTATTTGAGCAAACCTTCCAAAACACAGCACGGTGTACAGTCAGCCACCAGAGAGTCTGTCCCACAGATCCACGGCAGGCCTTATGCGACACGGTTGAGAATGCATGCGCACTGGTCACACCTATAGCCTCCTAGCATATGGATGAAAGTCCTCGGTGCAACAGGAGCCTGCGGCGACAGGTCGATCAGCTTGTCAGAATGACGAGGGGGCCTGGTCACCTTTGGGAGGCCCTCGCTCGTCCCACTTCATGTTCCTCGTGTTCCCTGTTGCTTTTGCGACCAGTATCAAGCTACGAGAATTGACGCAACAGCTTTTAGTTTAAATTTGAAGAGGCTCCATTGGGAATTGATGTAACAGTCAAAAGCCGACCTCTCTTACTTTTCATGTAGTGGCTGCAGGCTACGTATGGGACCTGAAATAGTGTAGACTTGGGCAAAAGGGAGTTTAAAAGGACGCAAACGCTTTTTCAAAAGAAACTTGACTGATCCACGCCGATTCAAGTCTCCCAGCGCTTAATTTCCTCCAGGTATCTCCAGCTTTAGGTACGCCACTCGAAAGCGACGAATGAATATGAACTGGCGCACTATCTTCCGGACATAGGATAGTAGAAGAAACCCAGCAAAGACAAATATAGAATAGGGGAAATAGAGACATATGAACAGCACGACACCAATAAAGTGGATGACCGACACCAGAAGTGCAATGTGAAAGGCTGCCTTTCTTTTTTCTCTTGCAGCTTCGATGACACTCTGTTTTCTGGGCGTGCTGGCCTGTGATTGTGTCGTTAGCAAGGTTCGGGACGGCCCAGGTCCACGACAGAGAGGCGAGGCCAGCAACTTGTCTTGAAGCGCTTCGCATGTACTCACTGGGTTGCCTTCTTCTGTTGTGAGTGTGTTGACTCTGGTCTTAAGTTGAAGGGGAGTAGCAGCCTGGGAAATTGGAGCGGATCTTTGCCCAGCGCTCGATGAGGAAGATGATGGCGCTGTCTTCAAGCGCTGTATTGACCCTAACCCTATCTTTCGGGCTGGCAAAGGCAGAGATCTTCTCCTGTCTTGGGATGTTTTAGGTGATATCTGCGGGTGACGCCGAAATTGCACGCTCATGGAGCTGCCTCGGGGAATAGAGGTTGTACTGTTGCCCATTTGGATCGCAGGTATTTCTAGCTGCGGTGTTTCAGATCTCAACGCTGCGGAAGACCCCTTCCTTCTGCGAGCGACTATACTCTAACTATGTCCCTCGACACCAAATCCCCTTGCAGCCAGAGCATCAGGCATCGGGGCTTCTTTATGAATGGGCTCTATGATGCCTAAGAACGGGTATTAGCATCCAATGAGCAAATGGATCTCGTCGACCTACTCCCGACCTCCAGTGCTGTCAGTGCAAACACCAGCAGAAGCAGCAGCGGCATGACTTGACCAAAGCTGAATTCAAAGAGAGGACTTGTGTCGACTTCTATCTCAAAAAGGCTCCGTCGCAACGACTCCAAACCGAACCCGGTCCAGGCAAGACTGGTGCAAAAGTCAATGATCAGTGAATCGTAAACATCCGTCAAAACGTCCGCCAAAATGGCCCGCACAACCATTGACTCAGAGTGTGCGGGTGTCGTTTTTTTGATAATCTTGTGTTTCTTGTCGAGACTTGCCAGTCTTCTTTGATGTCGATGCTCGTCTAAATAGCTTGTAAAACATTTCGGGTTGGGCTCTTTGTAAATGGAGCACATGATCGTCAGCAGCCAGCGAGGTGTAGACGTGTGATTCTCATCCTCCCGTCGTATACTACGCATGGCGTACATGTATAGGAGGCACATGAGAATAGCGCTGGCAGTTCCATCTCGCAGCGCAACGTCAAGAGTCTCTCTGTCACCAGAACTTGCCCATAGCTCGCAAGCGGCTGGTCTCGACGGATCGTAGTCCCACATGATGTACTCCAGGTATGTACCTGTGATCATGGTTGCCAGGTAGATCAGCATTAAGCCAATACGAACGCGGGTCTGCCATCTATGATTCTGAAAGTGTAGCCTCAAGATGTTCAACGTTGCTAGGTGTACACCTGATGCTAATGAAGCGAGCTTTATGCCGACATGGTAAGAGAATGCGGACAGTTGGCAGAAGAGGAGGAATAGGGCGACGCAAAGTGCGATGCCCGTTATCAGGGTTTGATCGCTCAAAGATAGAATAAACGTTTGGTATCTGCTAATTTGGTGACAGGCAGGATGATTCTCAGGGTTGCCAGCAATCCATTTCACGAATGGGAGTGCCAAGAAGAGCTCGTCGAACAGAGCGTATTGTTCTTTAGGGAGCCCGCGCCGAACGATGGCAAGGAAAGCAGTGATCATGGCCGTAAAGGAGATAAGAAGCATTGAGAGGATGACCTGGATAATACTGATCGTCAGTCACCAGTCTGAACTAATAGGACTCGTTGGGTGATGATGGCTTACTCCTGCACCCTGGATATCAGGGTCGACGGGGTCCGATAGGGACGGCTCTTCGCCGCAACTCGTTTTCGCTGCGCAGTAACCACCCATGTCGCCGAATCTTCTCTTGCGTTTCCCCAAACCAGGATCAGACAGAAAGCAAAGGTGTTCGAGGCTCCCATGGTTTCCAGAGGGGGTGCCTTTTGACTATGTAAGGAACCGTCTTCCTCCAGCCTGATTCCTAATCGGCTACAGCTGCATGGCGCTGCCAAGGATGCGTATGACCACATTCGGGCGAAGCAAGGCAGCCGAGTCGTAGCCCCCCGAGAATCTTGGATAACGTGAATGCGTAAAATCGCCTTTTCATCTTGTAACCTCTACGTGTCCAATATAATTCTGCAGCTATAAAGACATCAGCAACCTGTAGCCGTTCAAGTGTAACCATCAACTTTGAAGCCCAATCTCTCGATAATCAATATCACTTCGTCACACGCCCGCACAGTCGCTAGCCCTTGGATACATCTGATAGGTGGCACTGACTCACCCGACTTCTACCCTCTCTCGGGCATTCCGGGAACTATCCAATCTTCGCATGGTCCACAGCCTTGTTATCAACGTCCACCAAAAGTCCAATGAGCCACGCTAGTCGTCGCTGATACGGCGCAGATCCACCCATGGTGGCCAAGGTGTAAGCCCTTGCATTTCGAATCGATGGTTAACACACTCCATAGCCAACTCAGTTTGGGGTACCGAAGGTAAGGTGGCATGCGATGAGAGCATGGTCAAGGTGTGCACGAGTCATCTGCAATATACTGCAAAGATTCTCGCCTGGTAGGTCCAGAATGGCGGCGTCAAGCCAGCGAGGCTTGATTTTAGGACTGATAGCAAGCGTTCCTACGCTGAATCGACGTTTTCATGGCAAAGTCCAGTCAATTGATGCATTATACTTGAACGCGCGCCGGAGCCTGCGTGGCTCAAGGAATCACAAAGCGTGACCCCCAAGTGCCGTAATCCACTTACTCTGTGATGCGAGACCAGATCGAGACAGTATGCCCAAGCACGCCCACGGACTTCTCTGCGACCCTGTGGGTGCGCGTGTTGGAGCTACCCCACCCTTGGTGAGGCTCGGGATGCGCCGACCCGCCCCTTATATTCCATTCAGAATTGCCAGATCCCTCACGTTGCCAAGGCTTGCAGCCGGTGCGTGTTGGCTCATGAGCTAGACCTAGCGGGCTGCGAATACTGTTTCACGCATGGGCTGGAGCGTGAACGATCAGCAGCTCTCCGGCACGGCCGAGTTGCGCCGTGCCGTCGTGCCGAGACGATCACCCCTTCGCTCCCTGCCAGCCACGTGCGCCTGCCATGCACACGTCAGAATTAGAATTTCACAGAGCCGTGGTGAGATATGTAAGATGTTCAGACTACTACATACATCATATTCACTCCGCCGGTCCCATCATATCTACACATCGTACAGCGGATCAAAAAGCCAATCCAACTCCAAGCACGCCATGCAGTAGGCATATGAGCCACTCAAGATGCCGCCCAGACATTAAACAGGAGACAAACCGCCACAACCGTCTTCTGGCGTCAGACACGGCGTTTCCCTCTCACCCGCCTTACTCCCGCTTCACCGGGTGCAACAATAGGTTGGGCATGTACAATTCCCCCTCGCTTTCTGTGAGCGGGTACATCGGCTTTCCATCCTGGGTCTTCTTCCCCTGCAGCCACCCTTCGAACAGCTCCCCAGGCCAACCGCCGGCCCACCAGAATGTGCTTGACATCTGGGGTGAGTTGATCATGTCTGGCTGTCCCCATTGTGGATCTCCCTTGCCGAAACCATCATCGCTGGCCTTTGGCCCTCCGAGCATCCACCTCGCGCGCTCCTCGTCATCGGGCACATCGTTCAGGTACCATGGCAGCGGCGGGGCACTGATTTTGAGCCCCAACCACAGCGCGAATGATGGTAGCGTTGCCTCTGATGCTATTCGCAGTCCTCGCCTCTGCAACGTGTGAATGGCGTGCAATAACGCCCGGCTGCCACGTTGAATCGCTGGCGGACAAAAGTATCGGGGTGGGCCTTGCTTTCCAGCCCGAAATCCGTAGACCCAGCCCCGGAAGATCCACGTCGTGCTCTTGCGCGCATCCGCACACAGGCTCGTCACAATGACATCGGCATCTTCTCCCACACCCCACTCAAAGTTGTCCTCCTCGTCGGTGGTGGGTGGCCGTGGCCCAATGGGTGAGACCTCGCGCACGCGAACCGGGCCCCACTGGCCTCATTAGCAATCGACCACAAGGAAAATTCATGGGCGCACTTACAACATGAGACCGGCCCCGGTTGACCTCATCGACAGCGGCCCGGAATTCATCGGTTGTGTTGAACACGGTAGGGTCGTAGAAGAAAGTCGACCGTTCCATGGCCTGTTTGCGCGGCTCCTTGCGAGACCATAGGTCCACTGCATCCAGATAGCCCCCAGCATCGCCAGTGAAACGCATGTCCATCTCAAATTGCCAGTAGTGGTCGAATTCGGGGTAGTAGTGAGAGAAAAGTTGCAATGGCTGGAAAGCCTGCCAGAACGTTCGGTGCTCGAGGGTTTCGGGGTACAACTCTCCAAAAGAGGCTCGTTCCAGAGAACGGCGATGGACTGTAGCTCCTTAGGAATCTTGGCATGCTCAAAGGCACGGGCATACTCTTCTGGTGAATTCCAAGGGTTGAACTCCTCGCTGCGAATATGGACCAACAGCACGACGACGTACTCTCCACCAGTGCGCAATGATGCTTCGACGATGAGGGAGCGGATGTGCTGCATGTCACGCTTCTTGTAGTCGTAGCCATCATAGGCTCTCAAGATGATCGCTGTCCGTCGACTTCCACTGAAATCAGTCCATTGATGGTCTTCCGGCACCTTGCCGGCGCTCTTCCAGGCGAACCGAACGGGGCTGTTGAGGAACTTGGTGGCTTCGCTGGTGAAGCGATGAGCGTTTAACGCAAAGCAGTCATTCTGAAGTAAGCCCCAGTCGACCGTGTCCCAATCGACCACTGTGCGAGTGTAAGATTTTTCTTCTTCGCCGAAGCCATAAGGTCCATAGCGACCATCAGGAGACATCCAAGACTTCTCCAGACCTAGTTCTTCATGAGAGCCGGCAAAAGGCACGGGGTACTCTGCGATATCGTCAGCAGGCTAAGGCCGGCTTCAGGGCCGATCGACTCACTCTGCGACAGATGGGCGGATGTGAGGGCATCGTCGGAGCTGTTGGATAGCAGTTGACCTCGAGGACCGTAGCAGGGCACGCGGGGTCCAAGCGACATGATGGGGCGCGGCGGCGACATGCGCGGAGGAGCGCGTCCCCGAACCGTATCGACAGTGTGCATCATCCATGTTGCGGGGCCATTCTCTTCAATGAATATGTAGCACACGACATACAATACGGCGAGGAAGGCCAGGACAGAGCGGAAGAGGCGCCATGGCCTGAGGCGGTAAGGCGCGAGGCCGAGGCTGATTCTCATAGTCGTTGGATGGGCGACAGCATGATTGAGGAAGCGTCGCGATGAGTGATGGGGTCCCTCGGACGGCGGTCGCAATCGGGTCGGTTGGTACTGTAGCAGGCGCTGGACGGTGTGTGGCTGGCTGACTGAGCTTCTCATGCACTCTGTTCTCTCTCGGCTGAGCGGCGCACGGGAGGGGCCGAGTCGAGTCGCGAGGACACAAGTCAGACGGAGAAGGAAAGAATTTGAGATCAACAACGGGACCCTGGGTGAAGTGAAAATAAGGATGAAAGCTGTCAAGTGGCCAAGCAAATGGTCGCCAGGCCTAAACCAGCCAGTGTGCATGATACCCCTGAAGAGGTTGGAAAATTATCTAAGGCGCCATTGGAGATTGAGGACGCTGGCCCGTTCTTCATCTCTTTGGGGCCCATGCTCATCTCCAGAAGCCCGGGGCTGGGCCTCGCCTCTGGCGTGTGGGCAAAAGGAGCCAGATGGCGCCAACGCGGTGGTTGCAGGGGGGCGCGGGATGCCTCGCTAGTCTTCCATTGCGGCGCCATCGGAATTGGCCAAGTAGCCAACCATTCAGCACAAACTGGGTGGGCTTGAGGATCTCGACGGGCACTCGACGCAGCGACCGCTGGGGTAGAACTCTGGCCCAGGTATTGAGTGAGGGCCGGCAGAAGAAGGGGGGGGGGGGTTCCTTGGTCTCGGTCATGTTCGCGGACGAGCTGATTCCGGCATGAATCGTGGGACGACTGAGACCACAGAAAAATAACATGGGAAATCTGTGGTGGCAGACTTCCGAAGGGATTGACTCGATATCGAACCCGCGGCACGGGTGCACGTGCAGACGCAAAATGTAGCAAGGGTGTTTGGATTCTTGAACAATGCCACCAACCATCCATGACCGATGCGAGCCTGTTGGGGCCTCTCCTGTGGCAGCATTTGGACGGATCAGATGATGTTAGAATAAAGTGAAGTGGCAGAGACAATTAGAGCCGAGTGACTGCTTTGGCCTTGTCCGACCATCTATCTGCCTCGCTGTTTGCATCTGGGCTGAATGCAGTACCTGAATTGCGAGGCAGGGGTGACCTCAGCACTAAGTACCTAGGAAGTTGGTACCTCCTCTGAGGGGCAAGAGCACACGTGTGGTGGTCCTGGACTTAAGCCATGTAACACGTGAGCGAACGAGGCTGGCAGGAGGCATGCTCTCCCCGCCTCATTCTTCAGTCGCTCCTTCGTTATTATTGATGAGTACCTGCCCTCCGCCTGCTACTCGAAGCAAGCGCCACGTAATCGGACTTGCCACCTTACTCGGGTACCACCTAAGATACCTAGGTAGGAAGTCAGCAGATGTGAGGTAAGGCAGACACTGCAATACAGCGGGCGCCAAGTCGGTACAGGCATCGCAACAACCCCTAACTCGGTCCCCGCGCAGATGTCGAGAGATGCAGGGCACGCACCTCACCTGCTGCAATGCCCAGACTTTCCCACGGCTCCCGGCAACCATGCGCCCATGGGATTGCGTATGCTTCCGAGGCCCTCCTCCACCGCCCGCCAAACAGGCCCCCGTGTCCATGTGAGGGAGGGAGAGGCCAGCCGAGAGGAGAAGAAATAAGACCACAGCGGGCCCACTCGCCATCGTCTGCGCAAACTTCTTCTGTCCTGACCTCCCTTCACTGTTGGACTCCAGGAAGCTCGCATGGTTCCTCCAACACCCGTGCCGACAGCCATGGCACATACACACGCCGCTAGTCATTGGTCCCGGGACTCTGGATTCTGGATGTTTGCCTACCGCGAGACAAATGGTTCAACAGGAATACCCCGTCATTCCGCCGTCTGCGGCTTCTCACAGACATCTAGACAAAGTTTTCGCTCTGCACCCTAGATGACGTGGCGGCTGGCCCATCACACGACACTGAGCTGTTGGGTCGCCATCCCCCACCGGGCTTCCCGGTGCATTTGTCATGACTGGCAAGACCACCATGCGAGTGTGAGGAGCCCTGGGAACTAGGGGGGGTGGTCGTGGCCGCCCGATCGATTTTATATCCGATCCCGCCCTGTCTGCCCCGTCGCGGGGTATTCGCTGTTTCTGTCTGTCCACTGCCTTGATGCATACACACGGACACACCCACCCACCCACCCACACACACACACATACCTTGACGGCTCTCCAGACTGTGGCCTCAAGTTGAGGCTGCACTTGCTCTTCATTTTTGTTTCTTCACCTACCCTGGCCGTACTGCTCCATCGTGGACCTCACGCACATGGCGTCGGCCGACCTTTACACAGACGGCGATGAGTTTTGGCTCTTTGGATATGGGTACGTCCAGTGATGCCAGCTGCCGGTGGTGTATCAATCACATCTTGGCTCGCCCCTCCATCTCACACGTCAACCTCACAGGAGCCTGATCTGGAAGCCTCCTCCACACTTTGGTAAAGCTTGCACCCTTGGAAATGCCGCTCTACTCCTGACAGCGACAAGATAGGAGGATCCCTGGCTGGGTAACAGGCTATGTTCGTCGTTTCTGGCAGGTTTGTTCATCCCCCGCCCCTCATCTCTTTTCTAAACC